GTTTAATAACTTGTGACAGTTTAGTTTGCACACTATCAATTTTTACACACCTTGATTTAAGCTGGATAAAGGTGAAGCCAAAGGTGACAGGCAGGAAACATCTACATATTCAATTGAGTCATTAAATGATAGGTTGATAGGGTTGGCAAATGATAATTGATTCAATGGTGTTTCTACAAATAATTAATTGTTTAATAACTTGTGACAGTTTAGTTGGCACACTATCAATTTTTACACACCTTGATTTAAGCTGGATAAAGGTGAATCCGAAGGTGACATGCAGGTAACATCTACATATTCAATTGAATCATTGAGTGATAAGTTATCACAGTTGATGATTTGACTAGTAGATGAATGATTTTTTGGTGTTGCTATAAAAAATTGTTCAAATAGGTTTATAAAAATATATGAATTAATCGTTATATTAATTGCTGCTTATTAAATATTATGAACATTTTAGTGAATAATTATTATTAAACTACTAGTACTGTATTCAAGTCACACACACAAATTCAATTTGAATGATATTAAAACATTATTATATATAGGTACACATTTTTTAAAAATTAACAATTACATAAAACACTGAGTTAAAAATCTATCTACAAGCTGTTAAGTAGACTTATAACATGATATTATATAACTTCCATAACATTTTTTTTATTGCACAAAAACATTGAATTCATTAACTACTAATTGCTAAAAGCGGATAAAAAAGCAACATTAAATAAATTTATAATTACCTTTACTAGAAGTTAGTGGTAGGTACCTTTATTACCTACGACACATGGAACATTTAAACTAAACTTTGTTATATACTACAAATAATTTTGTAGATTAAATCACAAGCACGAACATCAGATATAATCTCGGCACATATATTAACCACAATTTAAAATGGTAGTATAAATACTTGGCAATTTCAAACAAGGCAATGAGCCTTTTTTCAGTCGTGTAGTACCAAAACTGTAGCATTTACTGTCAAAGTGTCTACAGCAAACTAGGAATGTTTTCCTAATATATTCCTTTGTAAGACACTTTAACTTGTTATTCCCAGACAGCTGAACCCACGTCGCAAACTCACCGTCGTCGAGTGGAAAAACATGTTTTCGAACCGTACTCTCGCTATTACAGCCAAACACACAGCATTTATTAGAAGGCATTATTATTTATTAATAAAATAATATTTATAAATTATGGTCTGCTTAGTTTAATAAATAAATCAATAAACTTCGTGGAGTCAAAAACAAAAAAAAACGAGAGGACAGCCAATGCCCAATTCTATAATTTATCAATTATCATTTATCATAGAAATAGAACATAGATAACAGAATTCGATACTAGCGCAGCCATTGCATCTCTTTTGAGTTACACCAACACGGGCTCTAGAACTACAAGTACGAGTCGACACGGCCTGATCTAAGCTTCTAACTAACCACATCAATGATGCCCATCTGTATATTTTACTGGCAAAATTATTAGGCATATATGTATACACTGACTAATAATTTATAATATAAATAGTAAATGTTAGTTAAAATATTAGTTTAAAGAGAAAATAATCTTACCTCGATTAGTTTTTTCATCATTTTTTGATTTCTTAGCTAAAATAATTAATTTTTCCGCACGAGACCGATTCATTTTAATTTTTAATTTTTATGTTATAACTTATAAGTAAGAGTAAAACAGAAATATAAATGTACTTATTTATAATATATTATATTATAATCATAGATACAATGATACATTTATGAATGAGATAATAAGATATGTGATTGTTTTCGTTAACAATTTAATTAATTTGGTTAACCTCAAATCCACAATAATAACATTTTGTGATTAGAAAGCAATATAATACTAATAATAATATAAACAATATAGTTTAAAACCCATGATAAACACAAATCATATTACGTCACAAATACGAAATTATAACCAATGACAAGAATTATAATACGTGAAGTAAACAACATGAATCTTATCATGATAATATTTATTAATGTTTCTATAAATAGTCACATACGGCTGAAAATAGATGTCCTTTCCTTAGCGTAAAAGACGTATGTGAACCCATACTAAGCAAAAAAGTTGTATAGTGAGATCACTTACTGCCTTTTTGCTTAGTAAACTCCATACTTTTTAGAAAACCGTATATGCATTTCCCTGTTTATATTGTAAATAATGGCTCACGACGACGATGATGATAATAATAATATCATACACGCGCAGTTGCGACTTGCGATTAAAGGTCAAGGTCGTGCGGCAAGACGGTTTTTCGATTGGCGTGTGGGTGGAAGTGGCGGCGGCGGCCCGCGTTCCGTGGTGGCTAAGTTTTGAACGTATCTATTGTGATTTTAGCCATTGTTAATATAATAATATTGTTATTAAGTGATAAGTAGGAGGCGTGTCCCAAAAATAAGGTCTCCATAATTATAATAATCGAAATAAGCTTTATTCAAAATATTTTTTACATGGTTATATATACAGTACTTATGAGTTATTTTTCCACATAATCGCCATTTACTTGGATGCATTTTTCAAGGCGATCTGGAAGTTTTTGTATGACAGCCTCATAGAAACTCGCCGCCAGCTCCTTATTTAGGTATTGGGTGACTTCTGTCTTCACTTCTTCATCTGTCTCTAACCGTTTCCCTCCCAAATGTTTCTTTAAGTTCAAGAACAAATGGTAGTCGGACGGGGCAAGATCTGGACTATAAGGGGAATGGGAGATCACATCCCAACCAAACTTTTCCAAGAGTGCTTTTGTGTCACGGGCAACGTGGGGTCGGGCATTGTCATGCAATAGACGAACACCCTTCGTCAGCATGCCTCGTCTTCGATTTTGGATGGCTCTGCGAAGTTTTTTCAAAATCTCACAATACGAAGCTGCATTAATGGTTGTCCCAGTTGGCATAAACTCAATCAACAGAACTCCTTTCCTGTCCCAAAAAACAGTGGCCATGATTTTTCGAGCAGATTGCGTCACTTTAAACTTTCTTTTTTTCGGTGAGCGAGAATGTCTCCACTCCAGTGACTGTTGTTTGGACTCAGGAGTGAAATGGTAAACCCATGTCTCATCACCCGTTACTATGGAGTCTAAAAAATCCTCTCCTTGTTCGGCATAACGAGACAAAAATTCTCGAGAAGTACAGTACTAAAACCTAATCTGTAGTTGAAACCAATGTTTCGAAATGAATTCCCCGTCGCTAAAAATCTAAAATAAAAATTATATAGATATAATTAGAGATGTTAAAATACGGTATTTTATTTTTGTTTTGTATAATACCGTATTATACCGGAATTATACCAGTATTATAGCGTATAGAACATTGCGTTACCTTAAATTATAGGAAATTTAACAAAGGTTATAACCCCAATTTAATATAAGACTCCTGATAATATACTATAACAATAGTAGTTGAAAAATATTAAGAATACATAGGTACAATTTTTTTTTTAAAGCATTCAAATTTCGAATTTTGACAAATTTATCAGATTTAAAAATTAAAAATTATTTTGTAGTTATAAATTGATAAAATTTTCAACTTTCATAGCTAAGGATTGAAAATTAAAAACAAGGTACCACGTAAGTAGGTTATTCTGTAACCAAAAAATCTCAAAAATATAAACACAGTTTTTTTTTATAGTTATTTTATGTTCATTTTTAGACGAAATTGTATATTAAATAACCAAGAACAACGATTTTAGTTATTTTGTTGTAATTTTATAATAATATTAATTCAACTTACCTAATTCCTATAATTCCTATTTTAGGTGAAGAAATTGAATTTATTAAAGTTGATAACTAACAATTTTTAATTTAATTAAATATCATAAATTGTAATGTATAATTGTTTTAAAATTATTATTGTGGTGTTTAATACATTATTTATAGGGCCAGCAGCTAAAGAACTCTGGGAAAAGCTAAGACGATGTTTTAGTAATGCCAGAAATAGGCAACGTGAAGAAAAAAAAGAGTGGTATGGCAAAAAGTTTATGGAAATATGAACAACAAATGGCATTTATTTTACCTTATTTAGAAAGCCGAAAGTAAGTAAAAACTATAAAACATTTATTTAAATATTTTATTAAATAGGTATACATTTTTAATTTAATTTTTAATTTTTACACACAATTTCCTTTTAAGGACACAGAGTAATTTAGCGGCAGAACAAGAGGACGTTTCAGAGGAATCTGAAGTGGAAGAAAATACGCCTAGTCAGTCAGAAGAAGGAAAAGAAAGTGGCCATGGCTTTCAAGACAATCAAGTAAAAGATAGCGACGTGGTCGATGATACTGAAACAACGTTTACGTCAAATAAACAGCGTTCAAACGATTTTAAACTTTCACGAAACAAAAATCAAAAACGGCTAACTGATACTCCGTCTCAACAAATGGTGCAGATTTTAAAGGAAAATGCTGGGATACGTAAACGTAAGTACGAAGAAAAAAATAGTATTCGTCCTCTACAATCAAGATCAACAAGCATTTTGGAGAACCTTGATGACACGGATTTGATTTTTTTTTAGATGACCAAACAGATGCCAAAATATGAACAAGCACAAATAAAACTTGCTTTGAGTAATTCTGTGTTATCTACAGAATTAAGTCTCAATCAACACACATCTGAATATAATTCTCAAAATCAAATGGAAACTCAATCATTTTATTTTCAATCTCCGTCTTCGGCTGACAGCATTCATACGATATTACGATTACGTCGCCATCAGACTATTCTAGTTTAGACAAAGAATATTCAACTAACGGTGAAAGACCAACATTACTAGAAATGACGTATCTTTCTAATGTATAAAATAATATTATAATCTTATATAATAATGTCATAAATATATTTTTAAGTACCTACACTACTAATTTGATTATTTTAATATGTTATTAATTATTTCTATTTAACTATTTTCTTACCTCAAACAAACAGCTAATCTTTCTTCAGAACTAACAGCTCTCCGAAATTGAGTGTTCTGCTTTTGTATATCACTTCAAATTAATTCATGTAAGTAGTCAAATTCTTCTTTGCTCATTCTGAAATACATATGAAAACGTTTCGAACATTGGCGTAATTCTGGAACTAAATGGTGAAATTCGCCTAACTTTTCACGGTTTTTGTTAATTGTATGAACCCATGTTCGACTAGACTTAACATCTTCTTGAAGAACCATTTGAGCAGCAACAGTTTCAATTTCTTCTTCCCAGTCCGACGAACTAGTAGAGCTTGCACATTCCATTTTTTTAAGTATTAATTAGGTGTGATTGAAACAAACTTCTCGAAAGACGTTACAGTGGTGACGACTGACATGACATTGTCATAAGTGTGACTGTAGTGTGTTTCTGAGCGTGATGTCACGGTTTTATTTTGTCAATGTGACAACACGTGACGTGACGTGACGTGACAATAATGTGTTCCTATCTTAATAATCATAAAACTATGATTGATCAATTGTTAAATTAATATAACTGATGTGTAAAAATAAAAAGTTATTTTTATGGATTTTGGCATAAAACCATCACCATATTACATAAATATAACACATTTTTAATAACCTGTTGACCTAACCTAACCTGTCAATAACCTATTGACAGAACTAGAGTGAAAAAAATCAAAGATATGTATGTGGTTATGAGAATGATAATTAGAATAAAACATAGATAGATATAAGCATATTATAATATAACTGTATAAATTTTTTTTTTTTGGTCAACTATACTAATTACTGAAGAAGTACCTATTATTTTGTGAAATCAGTTGGTCAATTAGGTTAAAATTTAAAATGTAAGAGAAAGTAGAAAATAATTTTGAAATTAAAAAAGGGATATATCCAAATACCAAATGACTAACATGGCTTTTGAAATACTTCAAATTATAATAATTGGGAACATTAATATTTAACACTTGACATTAATATAAACCTCTATATAAAACCCTTTTTTGCAACATGCTAATATTGTGTATTAATAGAATAATATCATCCTGTGTATGTTTAAATCTTGTATCATGTTAATGGTCAAGTACCTATCGGAATTAAATATTGATGCCTATAAAGTTCAATTATAGTAGGCCTACATTTAAAATATGTATTGATTTACATTGATTGACTCAATAAATATTTTATAAAGCAGTTTTTCCAGTTTTTATAGTAACTATTAATCTAGATAAATGACTTATTGAAAATTCCTCCCCATATTGTAATAACTTAAGGATATATGATTGTAGATACTAAACACAGATAAATATAGTTAAACTATACCAATCCTGGCGCAGCACCTTTAAGGTACAGATCATAATAATATATCAGTAAAAGATCACAAAGAAAACAATGTGCAAAAAGATCAGAAAATTGAAATGCAATAATATTTAAAATATTTTTCGCAAAAACTTATGAAATGAAATAATAATAAAAACATTTTTCGCAAAACTTATGAAATGTAAAAATAATAAAAATATTTTTCGCAAAACTTAATTATTCAAAAATAAAAATCGAAATGCAATAATAATAAAAACATTTTTCGCAAAACTTATTAAATGCAAAAACCCCAAAATATTTTTCATAATACTTATGATATTAATAATTAAAATCGAAATGAAATATTTTTTTCATAATACTTATGATATTAATAATTAAAAAATATTTTTCTAATCTTTTTGATTTTGATTTCTAATCAGTGTATTGAGATGGTTTACAAAATCATTTCTATCTATATTTGTTTTATAATGTCCCCAAGCTAATGTATCAATACCATTTTCCAATATAAATCTTTTATCATCATAAACACTTAAAGCTTTTTTGATTTGTTCTACAGTAAAAATATCATGTTTCTTAGTTCTAAATACAGTAGAACTCCAATTATCCGAACGCCAATCAAACGGATGTCCAATTAACCGGACGAAAAAAAAAGGTCCTAAGCTAAAGATTATATCATAATATTATGTTATACTGTTATAGCTGGGAATGTTGGAACATAATAGTGAAGTACCCACTTACAACATGTTTGTATTTATTAATAATATTTACTTCAAAATAATCAAAATATAAGTATTTTATATTTTGGGGGTTCAAATTGTTAACTCGGTAGTGCAAAAGTCCCCTATGCACCCCCCAATGGTCAGTTGTTGTATAATCTTCACACAGTTTAGTCTGTCAATTGATATATTATTATAACGAGTGAATTTTCGTGTTACAATGTCCCTAAATAACTTTTAAAATGTCTTATGTTAATCATCCGGATATTTGCTTAACCGGACCACCCTTGACATTAATTAGTCCGGATAATCGGAGTTCTACTGTAAATTTTGTTTAACATGTTTTGATTCTTTTGTTAGTAAACATTTTTCAAAATCATTAAAACATATTTTATTTTCTACAACATTTTTTTTAACACCTTTAGCTTTTTTAATTTCTTTTTCAGTATCTAAGATTTGATGTGAATATAATTTGGATCTTAAACCTATAAATTCTGTCATAATTTTTCCATTTAACTCATCTTTAAACTTGCCTAAAACTTTTTTGTTAACTAAAGGTAAACCATAAATATTATCTTTTGGATAATCTGAAGTGTCAAAATGATCTAACATAATTTTCATATCTTGATAAAAATCATTAGTTTTTATTTCTAATATTAGTGAATCTGCATCTGTATACAGGGTGTATCTATGTCATTGTACGCGGGGTTTTTTGACGATTACGGAACAATGATATGGAATTTCGTTAAAACGAAAAAAGACGTGTTTCTTTATTTTTAACAAGCAATTTTTTTTATAACAATTTCAAAATTTTTAAACACGCAGGTGTACCAATAGCAAAATCAACTTTCTTTTTTCAAATGGTAACCACTATATTTTTAATGGATTCTGGTAAAGCTTTTTTTTCTGCACATTTTGGTAGTCGAATCGTCAATTTTGGTTCTCTAGTTTATTAACTATGGCCCTCCAAAGATTAGTAAAATATGCATTAATACTTTTAATTAAAATAATGGGTACCTATAGGTTAAATTTACAAGCGCTAAACAATTTTTTCTTATAACTACCTACACTACACTACAATTGTTGAATCGGTAATCTAATGACACCCTCAAAAAAAAAAAAAAAAAAAAAATAACAAACATAATTGTTTGTAAACATACTTCATTATTTTTATTTTAACATACGATCATAAAAATCAATATTATCATTTTAATATCCAAAACTAAAAAGGATGGAAAGGGCTGAATTACAACTCCTAAGTTCATACTTTGGATGCGATACCATTTTAGGGAATCTATGGTTAAAATATCACGTTTATACTTTATACCACTACGAAAAGAGCACCACAAACATTGCATTTTTTTCGTTGCACATATTAATGTCAACAATCGAATACCATTTACCAATTTACCATTATTACCTTAGCTACCTACCTAATTAAGAATTCAAATGTATGATATTGTAAGAAAAGTAACTGTGATGAAAATAATGTAAAGTTATTAATTACGATTATAATAATTAATTAAAATAATAATATTTTTATGATCGTATGTTAAAATAAAAATAATGAAGTATGTTTGTTATTTTTTTTTTTTTTTTTGAGGGTGTCATTAGATTACCGATTCAACAATTGTAGTGTATCAAATGGTAGTTATAAGAAAAAAATGTTTAGCGCTTGTAAATTTAACCTATACCCATTATTTTAATTAAAAGTATTAATGCATATTTTACTAATCTTTGGAGGGCCATAGTTAATAAACTAGAGAACCAAAATTGACGATTCGACTACCAAAATGTTCAGAAAAAAAGCTTTACCAGAATCCATTAAAAAATATAGTGGTTACCATTTGAAAAAAAAAGTTGATTTTGCTATTGGTACACCTGCGGGTTTAAAAATTTTGAAATTGTTATAAAAAAATTGCTTGTTAAAAATAAAGAAACGTCTTTTTTCGTTTTAACGAAATTCCATATCATCGTTCCGTAATCGTCAAAAAACCCCGCGTACAATGACATAAGATACACCCTGTATAACAATCTACCTCTATTTCCATATTTTTTCTTTATAATATTATAATAAAAATCATACATTAACATTTTAGATAAATCTAAAATACACATTCCTACATATAATGGTTGTTTGAAAAATATTTGTGTTCTTTTCATACGTACTGCAGCTAAATTTTCTGTAAAAATTGTCCTTCGATCAAAATTTGGTTTTGCAATTAATTTCTCTACTATTGATGCATTAGAACATAATTTTATATCAACATGATTTCGAACATTCATCATAGTACGTCCATAAACACTATTATTCATTAATTTGAAAAATTCTTTTTCAAACTCATTCTTAGCTTCAGATCTAAGATTAGTATTAAAATCAATTTAAACTTTTAACCAAGGAGATTGACTAAATTCTAATACTCTATGAATTTTCTCTATCTTTAAGCCTAAATTAATATATAATTTTAGTGTTTCATAATGTATTATATATTTTTTCTTATCATAGGTAGGTACAAAGTTGTTAATAATTTTGGGAGTTGTTTGTTATCAAAATGTCTTTCTGGTGCTAAAGGGAAATCTGAATGTAGATCATGAAGTTCTTTAGGGTAAGATAAATCAACTTCTAAAATATAAAGTTTACGTGATTTATCAGAAATATTCATTACATCAAAATCATTCAGATTATCAACCCATTTGAAATCTCCAGTAGGTAAATATTTACTCATTAACCACCCATAAAGATTATTTGCATCCAAGTATTCTAAAAATATTGATTCCTCCTTTTTTTCAAATTTATCTCTCATGTATTTATTATTTGCTTTTGAATATCTTTGACTATATTGAGATAAGCCACCTCTGATTCCAGATTCCAACATCAATAATATTGATCGACATCTGTTAATAAATCTAATTTTACTTTTGCCATTCTTAACATGCAATCCCACGCAAATACTGGTGTTGTGAAATACCACATAGGATCTAATTTATAATTTTTTAAAGAAATGTCTCTTAAATTTTCTATTATATCTGTTAACAATAAAACATCAATATCATTATATAAACTAGTGAATTCACGCATATTTTGTATTTTAAACACTTTCCAAATTTTCTGTGAGTTTTCATATTCCTCTTTAGTTATATGTTTATCAGTGAGAGAAATATAAAATTTTTTAATAGGAGGTAAACATGTTTCATTAAATTTTTCTTCACAATCCATACACTCGTAGGGATAAGCTAACTTTCTAGTAACTAAATCTAAATGTTCTT